CTGTTTAATCTTTCTGTACTCAAACTGCTTTAACATTAGTAGACTTCACTTCCCGAAACCTGCACAACATCACATAAGCGCACATCAAATTACTAGCAATGAACAATCAATAAATCAAACAAAACATAAGGTAGTGATTGAGATTATATGAATGATACATGTGACTAAAAAGTGTATTTGCGACTTGATAAATTCCAATCTCAATTTGGAGGCAGCATTTTGCATATTGCAGGATATTGTAAAGATTTTTCTCAATAGCCTAAGAAGAATCATAAGGCATAAAGTAGATAAACTTACAAGCTTGATCTAGTGCAAGGGTGGAATACTGAAATCTGCAATTCTGGAAAACATTCATCCTCCTTCCTCTGCCTATCACTTCCAATATCAATTATTTTCTAGAAATTGCAACAAACAATTTCTTCTACCATATCATTAATACTTGGACCTACTACTAGTCATAATTCCAAAAACTATAAAACCAAATATAAGTCAATAGGTCATTTTGGAGCAAATTTCAATTCTGAGATGATAGCTACCTCTGGTGTGCTCAAACTCCTCATTCCTGAAAGCAAAAAAACATGAGAAAGGCAGCATCACAAATTTTTCAAACTCCACAGCCAAGTTTTTGTGGAGATAGTGTTCGAGTCAATGGGAGCTTATTCGCTGCAGGTAACAGTTTTAATATGAACACCAAATGAGTACCATGCCTTTTCTGTTGCAGCTTCTCTTGTGAGAAATGTGAAACTTAGTTGGGACCCAAGCTTAAACAAATGAAATAAAGGCAATATCGAAGTCTAACATTGAGGGTGTCTTTACTTGGATTGGACTGTAATTCATCTCAGATCAGATCAGACCAGACTTGGATAATTATAAAAGTACTAAGAAACCTGATCAGATCTGACCAGGTCAGACCAGATCAGACTAGCAAATTAAAGTCCAGGTAAAAACATCCTGAATCCTAAACATGCACCACATGTTTTAACATTAATCAATTAAACTCCTAAACAAAGGCAAATAAGATGCCACTCAAGTAAATTTTGTATAGAATCACTAAGGTGATTTTGAACCCTCGAACTTATTTTCCTCAGATTGATCATTGACACAAATTAGATGATGCACTAAGTTTCAATAAAAGATTAAAGATCTACTACTACCTCCGTCCCGAAAAGGTTGGCCAAAGTTGACTTTCACGTGGATTAATAAATTAAAACTGCTTGAAAAAAAAGTAAAAACTGTGTGATTGAATTTTGTGTAGAGGAGAGAGAATTGACTTTAGCCACATATTTCTTACTTTAAATAGAAATGACAAATCTTTTTGGGACATTCAAAAAAGGAAATTTGGCCAACCCCTACCTTTTCGGGACGGGGGGAGTATAAACTAAAAAGGTGCGATAATCCAAAACAAATACAGAGGATGTTTTAAGTCTAGTAACAAAAAACAACAATGTGGTAATCCTATATATGTGTGTGTCTACAATGAGCTATTATGTTCAATTTGATAAGGACTTTTTGGGGCCAATTTACCCGGAAAGGGGCTTACGCCAGGGGGATTCTCTTTCTCCTTATTTATTTATTCTTGTGGCGGAAGGTTTGAGTGCACTGATGAGACGGACCGAACAGAGAGGAGATTTGCAGGGCATTTCGGTGTGTAGGGGTGCACCTAGGGTGTCCCATCTATTATTTGCGGATGACTGATTTATTTTCTTTAAAGCTGATAGTCAAAATTGCTTGGCAGTGAAGAATATTTTGCAGGGTTTATGAGGATTGCTCGGGGCAGATGATGAATTTTAGTAAGTCCTCTTTAACTTTTAGCCCAAATGTGGGCGAACCATTTAAAGATCAATGTTGCGATTTGTTTGAGATCCCGAGGGATGGAGGGCAGCATCTCTGCCTCGGTCTTCCAGCTTTGGTGGGGAAGAATAAGACAGTTATTTTGGGTTATTTGAGGGAACGGATTTTCAACAGAATTAAAAGTTGGAATAACAGGTTCCTTTCTAGAGCAGGAAGGGGGGTTCTTCTAAAGAATGTTATTCGAGCAATGCCAACATATGCGATGAATGTCTTCCTTCTTCCAAAGGATACATGTTATAATATTGAAAAATTAATGAATGACTTGTGGTGGAGGGGAGCAAAGTTTGAGCTTAAAGGCCTGGAATGGAGGAGTTGGGATGCTATGTGTAAACCAAAGGAGGCAGGAGGGCTAAAGGAGGCAGGAGTGCTGGGTTTTAGGAAGCTAAGAGAGTTTAATTTAGCCTTATGAGCCGTGTATTAAAGGCTAAATATTTTCCTCAGTCTTCTTTCTTGGAAGCAAAGGTAGGAAATAATCCTACTTTTATTTGGAGGAGTATTTTCGAGACTCAGAATAATTTGAAGGAGAACATCCGACGTAGAGTGAAAAATGGTATTGACGTTCAGGTTTGGGCAGATGCTTGGTTACCAGGTTCAGGAACTGGGAAGGTTACTTCAAATAAGCCCCAGGGGGTGAGGGACATGAATGTGGAGGCTCTTCGAGATTTCACTGGTAGACATTGGAATCGAGAAAGAATTAATTCTTTATTTAATGAGTCAGATAAGAAGCTAATTTTAAGTGTACCGATCAGCATGCAAAATCGAGAGGATGGCTATTGGTGGACTGGGGAGAAGAATGGTACTTTTTCCAGTTAAAAGTTGCTATAGGAAGCTGATGGGAGAGCATGGCTCGGGGCCATGGGGCGGATGGAGTAAGATATGGGAACTGCATATTCCTCAAAAATTCATATATTTTGCTTGGCAAGTGATGGACGATACTCTTCCTTTTGTTGCAAATTTGAGAAAGAGAGACATTAATATTCAAGGGGGATGTGAGGTGTGTGGCATGGAGGAGGAATCACTTGATCATGCATTGAGATCATGTCCAAAAGTAAAGGAGGTATGGAGGGCTGCACATCTTCGGTTGGACGGGCAGCAGATGCCGATGGATGCATGGCTGCAGCAGCAAGACCGCGAGGCACGTGGCAGGTTTGTTACTCTCCTATGGTGTATTTGGAAGAGGCGGAACAAAGTGGTGTGGGAAAAAAAGAGCCAAGAGGCTTCAGCAGTTGTGCATATGGCGGATAGTATGGTTGTTAAATGGAAGGAAGCCCAACAAGTCTCGGTTGGGGCTGCTGCAGATGTGCAGCAGGGAAGGCAGCAGGCAGGCCCTCGGGCAGGGGTTTCGACGGAGGACAAGTGGCAAGCTCCGGAGGAAGGGGTGATCAAAGTAAATGTGGATGGAGCAACTAATCAGGCTACAGGCTTACATGCATGGGGATGGATAGCCAGAGACAACCATGGAGATTTTATTAAAGCGCAAGGAGTCTCCCAACGGGCTGAATGGACAGCGGAAGAAACCGAGGCTATGGGGATCAGGGACGCGTTACGTGAAGCCATAGCTGCAGGATGGAACCAAATGGTGGTCAAGAGTGATGCATTATCACTTTATCAGTGATACAGGGAGTGGCGAGACGGGGTGGCGGCTCTTATCTTCAGCTAATTATTGATGATATTTTCTCTCTTATTGAGTCAAAGAGTAATTTAAGTATCTCTTTTTGTAAAAGGTCTGCGAACCATGTCGCTCATACCTTAGCTAGAGCACATGTTAGTTCACCAGATCATAGGACAAAGTATGTGACGATTACTGATTGTATCTCTAGCCGATTGGCAAACGATATTTTGAATTAATATATTAAGGATTGACAGACAAAAAATATATGTGTGTAAAAAGAGCTAACCACCGGAGAACTTTAAGCCATCAACAACGAATCTACAATGGCTAGTGATTGTTGTGTCCTACTCATTTGGTGGTTAGCAATTCATATTGCTCTTTCATGGGTGATCGTTTCAAAATCTAGCCATAGGATTGATAGTGCTAGATGGTTACAGATAGTTGTTGTCAGTGTTGATCTCTCGAAATTCGTTGTAATGACCCGAATTTTATTTATATTAATATAAGCAGTTTTTCCGCAAAAAAAGACTATCTAGAAGTCAGCATGGTAAAAGGAAACGTAGGGTTTATTTATTTAGAGAAAAGTGTCAAATTGGTCCTCGTACTCTGTACGGAAAGTCAATTATGCCCCGTACTTTAAATCTCATCAATTAAGTCCTCCAACTTTGAAATTTTCGTCAAAATCGACTTTTACCAGGTAACCCGCCCGGTCAGCAGGTTAGCTGCTGATGTGGTGCACATGTGGAATGACATGGCGCGCACGTGACGAGCCACATCAGATTTTTTTCCTCTTTCTTCTTTCTTTTCTCTTTGCTTTCTTTCTCTTCCCTTCCAACCTTCTTCTTCTCTACACCCGCGGATATGAACAGTAACCAAAAAAATGGAGGGTGCTCGGAAAATTAAACGAAAAATATGAGGTGCGCCTGTTCACGACGACCTCCTTTGCATATTTTAATTTTTGTTCAGAGCCTCGATGGCGCCGGTAAAAATGCCGGAGGAGTCCAAAAAAAGGAACTTCCGATCAGCTATAAACCAGCCACCAAATCTCGTCCCTAGTTGCTCAAAATTGATGTGTAGTATTGCTCCTAGCCAACGAAGTCCAATTTAGTCTAAAAAATAAATAAATATCTCCCACATTTGAGTTATGAGCAATAATCGATCTTTGAATGAATAGTGTGTTTTGTCCTTACCGGTCATTGGCATAGAAAAACGGGAGAAAGAAAGAAATAATGAAAGACGGATTTGTAATTTGTTTTGAAGGAAAGGAGATGAGGGGGCTGGAGGTTGAGGAAGAAGATTGGGTCGCTGGGAAAAGAAAAACGGGGAGAGAGAAAAGAAAGGGAAGGAAAAAGAAAGAAAAAGAAAAAAGAAAAGACAAAGAAAAGAAAAAATGACGTGGTCCGCCACATGTGCATCATGCCAGGCCACGTAGGCTACCTAATAAAAGTCAATTTTGACGAAAATAACAAAGTAGGAGGACTTAATTGATGAAACTTAAAGTACAAGAGCATAATTGACTTTCCGTACAAAGTACAAGGGCCAATTTGACATTTTTCTCATTTATTTAGTGGAGTACATAGAAAAGGTTTAGAAATAAATTGGAAACTCCTCGTTATGATGTTGTTTATACTTGAACTTTTCTCAGACCAGAACAAATCAGACAAGTCCAAACTTAAACAGATCAAACTTCTATAGTTATAAATACACATAAATTAGACATCTACCAGACCAGACCAATTCAAAGCAAATCAAACCAGAAATTTTTTGTCCACAAAGTAAAAACATGCTTAGTATTCTGGCAAACTTTGGGGGTGTACTACTCCTCGGTTTTAGTTTCCGCAAAATAAAGGGAGCCGATAACTCGGACCGAACCAACACATGTGACACTCTTTAAAAGGAAGTTGCATCTCTCTAATTTGACCTGTCACCTGTGCCCATCCCGAGTTTTAGGCATTCACTTTGGTACATTTTGACAACCCACTTGTACATAAAAAATTTCCCAAAGCAAAATAAAAACCATTGCTTTATTGTGTTATTCAATCACCCACCTCACTCTCACTTCCCGAGTCTTCAGCATCAAACAAGTCTTCAAGAGGGTCATGCCTGGGAAGAATTCTAGAAAGTCATCGTTAACCTTCTCTCTCAAATCGCCAAAGCGGGATAAGGAAGAAGCCCTTTCAATCATCCTCCTCACTCTCACTTCTCGGGTCTTCATCATCAAACAAGTCTTCAGGAGGGTCATAAATGATCATGCCTGGGAAGAGTTCTAGAAAGTCATCCTTAACCTTCTCTCTCAAATCGGGATAAGGAAGAAGCCCTTTTAAAATAACTCGGTAAGGCAAAGATAAAGGGGGCTCGGTGGAGCTTCTCATTTCATCATAAACATGCATTGCCTCCTCAGGCAATCCACCATCCAAGAATGCCCTCACGAGGTCGCCGAATGTATGCTGGTCAAAAAGGACTCCCTCATTCTTCAAATCTTTCCACACCTGCTTTGCCTCCTCAGCTCTTTTGTTCCTTGCAAGCATCAGAAGCATATCCCTATAAAAAAACATATCTGGTCGATACCATATCTCCTTCCGCACCACCTCATACATCTGCATGTGGAAATGCATTCATTATAAATTCTAAAAATAGAAATAACACATGAACATAAGGATGCATTTTAGGTTTTTTGCCTCTTTCAAGATGATGACAGCAATATCACTAATTCACTAGCATAGCGAAAATTAACTTTACTTTAGAAGTAGCATAAGAGTAGGAGACAATTTAGTTATGTGAAATCACTAACAGAAAAATAAAATATGCACCTATTTCAAAATGTGACTTCAGTTGCACTCAGTTTAAAACTGTGAGTGAACTGACTGAGGGTGTTGAAATTGTCCGATATGGCTGAAATAGCTCAATTTGCTAAAAGAGTTCCAAATACACTTTCTTGATAAATTAAAAATAATAATGTTTAAAATGAAGGTGCTGGTGTCATTTTCATTCATTTTACAAAATTCGGAAAGAAAGTGTTTTTTACACTAGCCCTTTGTTGTTAATCAATTCAGTCAGCATGATAAAAAGGGCTCATGAGCAGATATAAGAGATCACCAAATGAACGCATAACACCATCAGTTGTCCAGGATTACAGCATAACAAGAAAAGCCTATTTGACTAAGATATTTTAGAATCATATATGATTCAGCATTTCTCCGTACAGACATTACATTGAGCTTTACCAAACAGAAAGTTCTTAATTTCTGCAACATAGACTGATCAGGTGGAGTTTTAAGAACCATGGAGGAGCTTTACTTGGTGATTTTGATACTTGTAAACCTGTTTCTATTCTGGCACCTAAACTGAGAGTAGTGACTGAGGGGCCAAGCTTTGTGTATTTCTAAAGGTTTTAATCAAATTTTTGTGGCAATAGATTCTTTAAGTGCCTATTCCATTTGAATTAAGCCTCATTACATTGATTCTTGGAGTTGTGCTTATGATACAGAGAACGTTGGACAATGCTCAATGAAGGGCCTTGATTCAGTTGGAACATACTTATCGACAAATTTCATTTGGCCAATCTAGGGTACAAAAGTAAGAGGAAAGGGAACGGTAGACTGAAAGGCTTTTCTAAAGCTATTTGACAACTGATAGGCAAGCAGTAGAGTGAACTAGACTAGGACAAAAACGCCTATTTGATTAAGACCATTTATAATCATATATGATTCGGCATTTCTCCTTGAAGACATTACATTGAGAGTTAAAACCCAAACAAAAAATTCCTATTTTCTGCAACATAGACTGATCATGTGGAGTTATTGGGAAACCATGAAGGAGCTTGACTTGGTGGATATGCACCTTCTGTAAACCTGTTTGTAATATGGTAGCTAAACTAAGAGCAGCGACTGAGGGGCCTAGCTTTGTGTATTCCTAACTGTTTTGATCAAATTTTTGTGGCAATAGATTCTTTGAGTGCCTATTCCATTTGTAATGTGCCTCATTACATTGATTCTTGGAGTTGTGCTTATAATGCAGAGACTGTTTGGCAATGCTCAATGAAGGGCCTTGATTCAGTTGGAGCATACTTATTGGCAGATTTGATTTTGCCAATCTAGGGTACAAAAGTCAGAGGAAAGGGCAGCAGACTGATATGCTTTTCTCAGGCTATTTGATATCTGATAGGCAAGCAGTAGATTGAACTAGCATGAATTTACAAAACTTCATTTTAGTATTTCTAGAACTAGAACAAGAAGTGCACGCTATGATCGCTTAATCATATTAACTGACATGTCAAGCCATTTTATTCAACTAAAGCTACACAGTAATAGAAAACAATGATTGTAAATTCATTTATTTTCAATTAATAAAACAGTTAAAGAAAAAATGATGACTCCGCATATAATGAGCAGGAAAATATTTATTTTCTCCTTCTAAATCACTTCTTTGTACCTTCATAGAAAGAAAGACAAGGTCCTGTCTTTGGAACTCGGCGAGGACGGCAACCGTATCAGATTTGAGAAGCCGAGATACCCTAGAGTTCATGAATCGCTCAAGACGGATCGGGTACGGCTGTAACCGTTTGAGCTCCTTGGCCACCATTAAACCTTCCTTCCCAATTTCCTTCTTGCGCCTCCATATCGATACGCTGGGACTTGACGCTGCTGCATTCGAGCCGATGATGAGACATCTGATTGTGCTGCTTTGGCTTGATGAGGACGATGGTGAGTAGGCGGGTATGGTTAGGAATAGCGAGGCCCTCCTCAGCAGGCTCCCGCCATTACGCCACATTCTTGATACAGTTAACGATCATCAAGGCACTCCTTGAATTCTGAAACTAGGTGTATTCCCAAAAACAATGGTCAGTTTGTTTGTTTGAGGTGGCGAGAAGTCTCACGCAGACGCTCCGGCACCCATGAAGTGAACTAGATAGTTGAATTGAGAGCTACTTCTTTGACCCTCAAAGTGGTGATGTTCAGCCCTAAATTATGGCGCATGGCAATTTTTTTTAAAAAAAATGTTACTCCGTATTACTTTTTCTTTAACAAGTTTTTACAAAATATCTCAAACTACATTATTATTATAAAAAATAAATAAATCATCTCAAATATGTTTTTTAAACCATAAATGAAAAAGTTATAACAATTTGAAACAAACCTGGATGCAATGTGGCAAGTAAAGAAGGGATGGGGTGAATATCATCCTCTTGAATGACTGTAAGAGTCAACAAAAGCGTTGTTCAATTTTGAAAAAGAATTACATATTCTTGTGTTCTCATACTCACAATCTGTGGGACAGATTGCTGGGTTCAAATGAAGCCCTAATCATAATATAGTGGATAGAGAGTTTATAACACCTCTGACATCATGCGAAGTAGAAAAAAATTGTTAGCACACATTTTGTGTAAACTTCTCTGTACACCCCCTTATTTTGCATGTGTAAACACTAAACAGACAATTCATCTAAAAAATGAAAATATTTTGAAAATTCAAAAATACCTTTGTACAAAGATAAGTGTGCGAATCGTGTACAAAAAATGTATCCAACAACCAAAATCCTCAAGTAAGCTTGCTCCTAACCTAATAGACATAAATTGAACTTAGGACTGTTCTTAATAGTATGCCCTATCAGGCTATGAATCAATTGAGCTACAGACCTACAGTCACTATTTGTTCTTGGATTCCCCCATTCATAGAAGGATGCAGAATCAACTGGATAGTTTAATTGTGATTCCATAACCATTTCACACTCTCACAGTCTCACTAAGCCTAACAACGGGAGAAAAACAAAATTAATTGTGAAAATCTTAAACAATTTATGTTCCACTTTTGCTATAGGGAAAAAACTGTGGCCTATTATTCTATTAATTTGAACTGAAACATTTTAGTTTAATGAGGTTTAAACTCATATAATCTTAAATTTCCGAATTTGATAGACTGATAGAAATCAATTTGTCTTGACTTCCACTCACAATATTCTATTCCGAAATTAAAAACTAATAACCTCTAGACTTTCACAATTATGTTGATGATGTTTTTAATTGGATTATAAATAAAATTCTAGTCTGATCTGTTTTTAATTGGCCTAAATTAGGGGTATCAATTGGAAAAATACCGGAACTAATCAATAAAGAGGAGAAGGATTGGATTAATACCGGAACTAGGGAAGGTTGGGTGACTATTGAGAAGGGCGGATTGGCCTAACCGCCGAAGGGTGAGTGGCGGAGAGCAGGCGACCGGGCGACGGGCGTGAGGCGAGTAAGCGACCACTGATAATACGTGCTGCGGTGCTGGCGCCTGGTGGAGTGGCGGTGCTGCCGTGCTGCGTGCTGGAGCTTGCCGGTGGGCGAAGCCGCGAAAGGAGTCGGCAATTTAACCGGGCGTTCGACACTTTGATGAGTTGAGCAGAGTTGTCTGGTCGGCTTCCTTAACTGGAAATACTACGCGACTCAAGGAGTATTTGGGTTTGATTAAAAAAAAAAACCTTTTCAACTTTTGACTTTAAAAAAGTTGAAAAGAGTGTTTTCAAATGATAGCTTCTGCTTAAATTAATCACTTAAAAGCTAAAAGCTGGAAGCAGGTAGAAAGATGTTTTAAACTGCTTCTCACTTTTTCTATTACACAAAAATACTTATTTTACTAAACACTACCAACTTTTACTTTTTCAGAATCACTTTCTTCTCAAACACTACCAACTTTTACTATTAATCACTTTTCCCAAAATCACTTTAAAAAATCACTTTTTTAAAGTTGAAGCAATCGCAAACACTCCCTTACGCGTTTTGTTTAATTTTGGGCCTTTGTCCGGTTGAGCCTGAAACTTTACATTAGGCTGATTTAGGGGGCCCAAACTTTTATTTTTATTGGGCCTGCGGCCCCACCCTTGCTACCCGTAGGATCCCAGGGCCGCCTCTAGATATGGGCTTTGTGATTCTATTTCTACTTTGGGGTTTGGGTGAGATTACTAGAAATTAGTGAGATCAAACAAAGGCGGGACAGAAGGGCGATACCAATTAGGATGTTTTCTTTTTGGATTGAAATTCATTGTTCTTGTCTGGTCTGATCTGTTTTAGTCTGCTCTACTCTGGTTTGGTTTATTTTAATTCGGTTTGGTTTGTTCTGGTTTAGTCTGGTTTGTTCTCAAATTTTATTTTAACTAAAGTATTATTTATATATTATAATTCGTAAATAATTAGGTTTTATTCATATATAATTAATATAATTAAAAATTAAGAATTTTCATTCCAAATTTCGGCAATTTTTTAATTTGGGGTGGGCAAGGGCCTAGATTGACCATCTCCTTGCTCCGCCCCTAATTTCCGGTATAGCTATCAGATAGATTCTTCATAATTTGGAGAAGGAAAAACCAATTAAATAAGAAGAGGAAAAAGGGAAGAGGAGAAAGAAAAAAAAAACATCAAAGAGAAGAGAAGACGGGGAGGAAGACACATACCTTTTTCATTAAATATTGATTGAATCAGAATCGACTGATAAATACCGATAAATAATAGCTAAACCCAACTGAAAATGATACAAACCGATCGTAATTTAACTGATACCAACTTAAGTAGTGCGATATGGTTCTCAGTTACATCTTTTTTAAATCGAAACTGATAAAACCGAAACTAATATAACCAATCCCGAAAAAAATGAACCAGCGAACACCCCTACCTATTACATACGTAGTAATAAATAACAAACATTTTACACATATCACAACCATATCAACTATCAATAATTGTGGAGCAAGTTTTGCCATCATAACCAACTTGTTGCAGATGTCAAGTTTTGCCATGAACAACTTGTTGCAAATGTTAATATCTGTAGGGAAAACTGTCAAATAGGTCCTCGAACTTTCATAAAAAGGTCAATTAAGTCCTTCTATAGGAGGTTCTGTCCGGCCGTCGCGATTTGGGACTGTTCCCGGTGGAATTTTTTGATGAAATTTTTTGAGCATGTTATTCATCAAGTCTAGTTTACGCATACCAAATTTCAGCTAACAATTCAATCGGGAACACATTCAAATTAATTCTTGAAGATAATTGCGCATTTTTGCATTCTCGAATTAATTTGAATGCACTCCCGATTAATTTGAATGCACTCCCGATAACCAATCTCGCATTATAGCCTTCTTACTCGCAGCACTTCTACTGCCCTGTAAGACGATCGGCCGACGAGCCTTTAGCAAAAAGTATTGTATTGGGGAGTTATTAACAGATTAATAATACCTAATCACTTGCTTGCTACTTATTGTTTTTTAATCCATCTCGCTTGTTAGTTGGACTAGCTTATTCATACACACTCCACTCGAAACTCTTAGGCTTACGTGTTGGACTCGAGGGTTGAAGGAATAAACCTCAACATATATACATAAAAATGATAAGATAAAAAGGATAAACAATATATATAATAAAAAAGATCAAAGGATAAAAACATAAGCAAGAAGCAGAAGATAAAGGAAAAAAAATTGTAAGAGATCAATCTGCGACATAAATATTCATTCTCCACCTTGCTCTACCCAGATCCGTACCCTCATGGCTTCATCAAACCCAACAAGATGCATATCATCTACTCTTCTAATCCACGTTTATTTGGATTGCAACAAATTCAAACAAAAACATTTTATATGTATGTGTATTATTATATGTATAATAATGGAAATTTTGTCACACCTTATGATATAAAGTGCATACTTACAAATGTACGCATAAGCGTTAAATAACGTTCACAATCCACCGCTTTATTCCACTTGGCTACACCCGCTCCCGACTAAACTATGTTCTTTTCAAAAGGGAATCAATAAATTATACGTACGTAGTATTGTTTTCACTTGTGTGTTTCCTTCATATCCTAATATACTCCTATGATGTACACACAGTTTTTTTTTGCGAGAATACACATACAGTGTTTTAAATACTTATGCACATTTCACCATATTTTCTTTAAAAGTTTTTTCATGACATTAACGATGTCATTCACCTTTTTAATTGATTAACACAAGTGATCAAGATAAATTGTCATTTTTCAAAATAAATCCACATCACCCGATTATTGTTTATAATCACTTTGAAAAATTACCACCTGTTTTTTAAGAGCAGTCAGTAGATGATTATTTTTCTCCTGGACTTCCAGATTGGATTATACCAATGCCGTCTCATAAAATTTGATGAAATTTGACTTGTATACATAGGCGGATCTATTGAGGAAGGATGGGGGCGGCTGCCCCCAACACAATCCCACTAAATACATATAATGTACTCGTATTAGAATATATTGGAGATCCATGTATTGCCCCCAATAAAAAATCATCGTTGCCCCCAATAAAGCAGACTCATAAGCTAGCTGAAAGTTTGGTTGGTTTATGGGAAGCTCATCTAAAATGATAAAATCTGTAATTAAGATGTCAAAACCGTGTCGAGGTAGTAGAGTAACGAATGTGATGCTAATTTATTAGTGGGATTATAAATGTACAGTGAGATTTAATATATTGAGATTATTAATTTGTTTATTGTAACCGTTTAATGTTATGTTTTTGAAAATCTAAAGTTCCAATAACTGCCATTGCTGTTTATTGTTTATTTTAGGGAAAACTGTCAAATAGGTCCTTGAACTTTCGTAAAAAGGTCAATTAAGTCCTTCTATAGGAGGTTCTGTCCGCCCGTCGCGATTTGGGGCAGTTCCCGGTGGAATATTTTGATGAAATTTTTTGAGCATCTTATTCACCAAGTCTAGTTTACTCATACCAAATTTCAGCTAAAAATTCAACCGGGAACACATTCAAATTAATTCTTGAAGATAACTGCGCATTTTTGCGTTCTCGAATTAATTTGAATGTGTTCCCGATTAAATTTTTAGCTGAAATTTGGTATGCGTAAACTAGACTTGATGAATAAGATGCTCAAAAAATTTAATCAAAAAATTCCATCGGGAACCGTCCCAAATCGCGACGACCGGACATAGTCTCCTATAGAAGGACTTAATTGACTTTTTTATGAAAGTTCGAGGACCTATTTGACAGTTTTCCCTTTATTTTAAAGTGTTAGTGGTTAGTGGAAGAGTCTTACATCTAATTTATTTAATTTAGTTGATGACTTGCTAAGAAAATTAATATTACTAGAAAAATGTCATTTAGATAGTCAAATATAAAAATCCTAACTAATATGTTCTTTTAAATAGTTAAATTAGAGCTCGTTTATTGACCATAGTTTTCGGCTTATCAAGCTTATCAGTCAAACTTTTTCTCCAAATACGTAACTTTTGATTTCACGCGCTGAACTATTTAATAATAAGAAAAAGTAAGGTTGAAGTTACTTTTCTGGTTGTATTGGCTGCATTTACTGTAGATGACCACTTAGGCTATTTTTCATGCATTTTTTCTCTATCTGATTGATAAAATATACGGAGTAATTTAATTTTTCCCACATAAATCAGCAGAATCAGTCAATCTAATCACTTTAGCTTTAACTTCATGAATTTCAGTAGAATCAACTGATTCAGCCGATTTCAATGTTACCAAATGAGCTCTAAATGTATTAATGTATAACTAACTTCATGCAGAGTATATAATAATAGTAATAATAATGTAATATTAATTTCACTTTCGAGACTTAATGAAGAGATATTTGATTACCTATCTTTCATTAAAACCGGGTAGCTCAAATAGTAATGTCTCTATAAGCGCTTGTCATGGGAACCGTAGAGATTTGCTTCCCCACTATGAAAAAGATGAAAACTAATTTGTGTAGTAGAATTGATGATAAATTTGTTTTTTTTTTTGTGATGGTCTGTTTTTCTTGAAAAATGCTATAGTATATATGGAGTATATGTTTAAAACTGTTATCCAAGAAAACAAAATCCTGCTAGAACAATTGTGATGTATTTTGTTAATACTACAATTGTGATGTATTTTGTTAATACTACTAATTTTTGTTCCTCTAAACTTTCTTAACTACTTTGCCCCCAATAACTATTTTTCTTAGATCCGCCACTGCTTGTATATATAATAATAAAAAATAAATATGTGATTGGATGATATTCGTACCGAGGAGATAGAAATAACTTTAATTACATGTAGTGGGATAAGAAAATTAAATGAAAAAGAAAAGAATAAATGATTAAATAAGGAAATTTGGTAAAATTTTATGGGATAATACATGTAGTGGGATTACAAAATTATTCCAAGCTAATGACAATACTACTACTATTTGATAATAAATTAATAATAGTAGCTAACAGATTTTATTCCCACCGTTGCACTCAAAAGTTTGTCAACATCCAGTAATGTATTAATATTAACTACCTAAACCTTACTGTTTTGGCATCTTATGAATTTGTTCAACCTTGTGTCCCTTGAGATTAAGATAAATACTTAGTATATAAAAAGGGCAACGGTTACTTAAAAGGGTTTTCGTAAACAACAGT